CTGCAGGGCTGAAAGGCAGCCTGTGTGGCTGCTCTACAGGTGGGCCTGCGGCACCTGCGACACCAGGTCCAGCCCCGAGGCAGGGAGGAGGGTCTTGGTTCTTCTCGCACAGTCGAGAGGAGCAAATGAAGGGATTTAGGCAGGAGCTGCCTCTTGGGGGGCCCTCTGACCGCCTTGGGGGTGGATGGGAGGGACACGAGGGATAACAGGGAAATGGAAGGAGGGCGTGCACTCCCCCAGTGAGGGGTGACAGCTGTGGCAGAAGCTCTGAATCCCCATCTCATGTCCCCTGGGACCCCCCACCCGGGCTCTGCGCCCCTCTGTGTCTCTACCTGGGAGCTCTCAGGGTGCTGGGGGCTGGACCAGCCTTGAGCAGGACAGCCCGAAGGTGCCAAAGACTTAATGGCCCACACAGGGCACCTCTCAGCCAGTGAGGGGTGGAAGTAAGTGGGTAAGTGCCCGGCTTCCCTCTGAGGCTCGTCCCACAGCTTCCTCGGAGGGTCCCAGCAGGCCTGAGCCCACAGCTCTCCGATTCCGTCTTTAGGGCTCTCCTCCCTCCCCTCTGTCCTCTCCTCGCTGAGCCTCCTGACATCACCTCCCACATAAACCAGCTCCACTTTTAGAGGGACCCAAATCAGCGCTGGGCCACTGCAGGGCAGAGGGATGGACAGAGCGCAGGGCCTGAGGGGCGCTCAGGGGACAGAGCGCAGGGCTGTGATGGCAGAACACGGGGGTCAGGAGGAGGGACAGGCCAGCGTGGCTTAGACGGACCAGCTAGAGGAAGGTGCTCCTTTCCTAATTTGTGTGTGTGCACAAATTTGTATACATCCATCTAACCAACACTTGCTTAGGATACCCCATTTCCATTACCCCAATAATATCTCCTGTGCTCAGTGGCAACCAGCCCCTTTCTGTCCTTGTCCCTTAGTTTTGCATGCTCCAGAATGTCATGCAAACGGAATCCCAGGGTGGATACCTGGGTCTTTGCTCAGCATGATATTTGAGATTTACTAGGTTTATGTTCATCAGCAGTCTATTCTTGTGTGTTGCCCAATGTTAGTCTATTATACAAAATATATATATAATTTGTTTAACCATTAACCTGTTGATGGACAATTGAGTTAATTCCAGTTAGGGGCTATGAGAAATAAAGTTGTTATTAAAATACGTATGCAGTCTATTATTTATAGCCCAAAGTTTTCATTACTTTGGGATACTTAAAAGTGGAATTCCCAGCTCATAGAGTGGCTGTGTATTTTACATTATAACCGACTAACCATCTGTTTTCCAAAATGACTATATTTTTCCACAATCCCTCCAGAAATGTATAGCATTTTTATTTGCCTCACATTTCTCACCAACAGCAGATACTGTCAGTCTTATTAATTTTGCCCATAATGCAGATCCCTGATAGCTAATAATATCGAGCATTCTTCATGTGCGTCTGGCCATTACTATCTATTCTAATGTGTGTTTAAGTCTTTTGCCCTTTATTCTGAGTTTTCTTTTCATGATTGATTTCTGGGGTTCTTTATATATCCTGAGTGCACGTCCTTTGTCAGATACACGTATTGTGATTATTTCCCCCAACCTACGGTTTGCATGTTCTTAGTCTTAATGACACCTTTTGAAGAACAGAAGGTTCTTACACTGAACCTCCAATTCATCACTTTCATGCCTGTTATGGATAGTGCGCCTGTGTGTGTGTCTTGAGAAATCTTGGTCTACACCCAAGATCAAAATGATATTTTCTGAAGATTTTTCTCTTATCTTGTTTTTTAGTTTTTATGTCTACATCTGGCTCGTCTGAAATTCATTTCTATATAAGGTGTGATTAAGGGGCCAGGTTCCTAATTTTTCATATGGATACAGTTTTTACAGCACTATTTGTTAAAAAGACGGTACTTTCCCACACTGAAATATCTCTGTCCTCACAGTAGATGGATGTGTGGGTTTATTTTGGGCCTCTCTGTTCTGTTTTATCGATCCATTTCTATTCTTGCTTTGTCTTCATTATTGTAGTTTCATAATCTCGAAATCAGAGCTTAGCCTCCAAGTTATTTTTAAAGGTTGTTTTGGCTAGTCCGGTTTTATCACATTTGTGTATAATTTTAGAAGCAGCTTGTTGATTTCTACAAAAATACACAACAAACAAACTTGCCACAGACGAGGGATAAATTCTCTTTGGCTGCATTCCAATAAAAGGTTATTTATAGACACTGACATTTGATTTTTATATAATTTTATGAATGGATTGTCTTCTAATAGGTCCATTTGTCCTTGGTTTTTTTGTTCTTCCATTCCTGTCTTCTTTTGGGTTAACTGAGTATTTTTTAGCATTCCAATTTATCTCCTTTATTGGCATTTTAATTATATTTGTTTGTGTTATTACCAGTACTTGCTCTAGTGACTACAATATGCCGTTTTCCCCTCGGGCTCATTGAAGTCTCACTTGCATATGCCAGCTCCGTGGTCAGGAGCATCCTCAGCTTATCTCAGTCTGACTTAAATTAATGCCACGGTGCTCTGTGCATATCCGGGCCTCACAGCGATGCAAGTCCATTTACACTCGCTCTTATTCATTGGCTATTACTGTCATATATTTTATTTCTGCCTTTGTTGTAAACTCCACAATACCTTGCTATAATTTATTCTCTAAGCCATTAACTAACTTTTACAGATCTGAAGAGAAAATGGTTTTATGCTTACCACTTACAGTGCTTCTTATTTTCAGCAGCCCTGAAATCTCATCTCAGATTATTTCCCTTTAGACTGAAGGATTCATTTAGGATAGTCTGTCACGTGGGTCTGCTGACAATAAATATTATCATCTTTTATTTATCTGATAATTTTTAATTCATCTTAATGTATTCAAACTGTTTCTGCTGGATAAAAAATTCTAGGTTAGAAGTTGGTGGGTTTTTTCTTCCAGAACTTTAAAGATGTTGCATTGTCTTGAGACCTCCATTAGTCTGATATAAAGTCAGTGTTTCATTGTTATCTTTGTTCCATTATTAACGGTCCCTCCCCTCTGGCCGCCGTTGCGATCTTTTCTTAATCTTTGTATTGCGGCAGTCTGATTGTGATGTGCCTAGATGTGATTTTCTTTGTAATTATCCTTGGAATTCATGAGCTTGCTGATCTGTGGGTTGCTGTCTTTTATCAATTTGTGAAATTATTTATCTAATATTTCCTCAAATGTTCTCTTTTCTGTCCCATTCTTTCTCTCCTCTCAAAGGTCACTAAAGGCTCTGTTTGTTTATTTGCAACATTTTTTACACACACACTTTCCCCTATTATTCACATCTTAAATTAATATGGTACATTTGTTATAACTAATAAGCTAATATTGATACATAAGTATTAACGAGGCTTTTTCGTTTATTCAGATTGCCTTACTTTTACCTGGTGGCCTTTTTCTGCTCCAGGGTCCCATCCAGTCCCATCCATTTAGCAGTCACGTCTTTAGGCCCCTCTTGGCTCTGACAGCTCCTCGGACGTCCCTTGTTGTGATGAGCTTCACAACTTTGTCAAGTGTATCATTGGATGGCCTTCTGCTGGAATTCGTCTGACATTATTCTCATGGTGAGACTGGGGTATTCAAACATGTGGGGGTATTTATGGGAGGTACAGTGTCACTCATATCATATCAAGGGTCCGACTGCAGACCCATTTGTCATGTTGACGTTGACCTTCAGCACCCGGCGGAGGCATTTGTCAGGTTTCTCGCTGTGAAGTCACTCTTTGCCCCCTTTCCACTCTATACTCTTCGGAGGGAAATCACCAGGAGCAGCCCCCACGTAAGCAGGGGGAGTTCTGGTCTCTCTCCTTGAGTTGGAGAGTATAGACACAACTTATGTGGAATTCTCTGACCCAGAGGTTTGCATCTTCTCCTCCACAGTTTATTAATTTATTCAGTCACTTGTTTATATCATTATAGACTCATAGACATTTATCTTATACTTTGGGCTATAATCCGATATGACTTTATTTATTTTGTTCAGATTTTTCAAGCTCTGACCACCTTGTTCAAGCTTTGGCCACCTTTCCACACCAGCCATCTCTGTAAGTGAGCATGTTTGTTATAGTTATTACAAGCCCTTCTCTGTTAATTCCAACATCTGAGTCATCTGTGAATTTTTTTCATTGGATGATTTTTCTCTTGACTATGTCGCATTTCCCTCTTTTTCACATGTCTAGCTATTTTTTATTGTGTACTAGACACTGAAGACACTTTCTAGAGATCTTATTTTATTATCCCCACGGAGAGTGAAAATTAGTTTTGGCCATCAGTTAAATTATTGTTGGATAATCTTTAACTTATGATTTCTTCGTGTTATGCTTTGTTTGGGCAGGTCTAGCTCTGCTTTGTTCCTGATCTACGGATGAACACCTCTATCATGAGGTGCGGTCCTTACTGCCGGTGTGTGGCCCTTCTGGGGATTTAGCGGAACGCCCTGCACTTGGTTGAACTCATGCTCCGCATTCTGTTTCCCCTGCATTGGGCAGATTCTGAAATCTCTTCTCAGCTTTTCCATCTTGCCAGCCATTGTTTTCCCTTTGGGTTCTTGGAAGTCTTGCCTACAAAACCATCAGGAAGAAATGTCTGGTGGCCTAAAGATTGGAAAAGGCTGGAAAGTAGATGAGAGAGCAGGCTGGGCCCTGAGTGTGGGGCGAAGGGCCTCTTGAGACACCCTGGGGTTAAAACATGTAGGGTGATGGTGGTGACTCAAGGCACAGAGCAAAACTTAAATTATGCTCCACAGCCCCCAATCTAGAAAGAGAGGAATGTGAGGTACATTTTATTCATTTGTTTTAATAATAGATTGATTGAATTTAGGGAACTAAGCAGAACAAATAGAACTCACCCATCATCTTAGAGAAATGCCTCCTTGGGGATTGTGTGGCCTATGCAGGTGTCGGTCGTGCTTTTTCACTCCCGGGTCATGAAATGTGCTTCACAACTGTGATTTTTGTTGGCTGCATAATATTCCATCACATGGACAAAAACTATTTCACAAAACTATTCCCCTATTGGATAATGTTTCTGAACATCGCTGTTATCAGTGTCCTATAGTGAACCCCTTTGTGTGTGAGCCTGCATGCTCAGCCATGACTGTATTTCCTGATGGCTGAATTGCTGGCACAAAAGTATGGGCATTTTAAGTTTTTTTTTAAAATATGCACTGTGAAATTTATACACACACAAGTTGAGTATTAGGGTGTTTTAGGTGCAAAATTAATCAGAGCTCAGTGAATAGAGAAATAAAGCTCGCGCTAGAACAGCCCCTTGTGTCACTTTGCATCTTTGGATGGTAACTGTGTCTCCTGGGTAGACAATTGAGCTTGTGTGTGTGAGGGAACATTTTCCACTCATCATTTCACTTGTACTAGTCAACTACCCTGGGAGCTATGCCGGATGAGTGCTGTCACTCCCATTTTATGGATGAAGAATCTGAGGCTCAGGGGCGTGTACAGTATAGTAAAAGGAATGTGAGCAGACATTTCTGGGTTTGAATCCCAGCTCTGGTGCTGGGCAAGCTTTACCAGTCTCTTAAGCCCCAGTCCTCTCGTATATGGAATGAGGGTAGAGACACCTGCCTCACAGGAAGATGAAATGAGAGGACAGAAGGCAAGTGTCTGGTACAAGCTAGGCACATGGTAGGTGCTGAAGCAATGGCATTTGTGGTCATCGTTAGGAAAGTCACACGTCAAGGTTACAGAGGCAGAACAGCACCCACATCTAAGCGCAAGCCAAGCACATATTCTGGGCACCGCCTGCCTTTGAACCACATGCCCAAACTGAGGAGGGAAGATTTGGAATGAATCTCCATGTGGGTTATCATTGCTCGGTCCCCAGAGTCCTGCCCTTCTGCGACTCCAAAAGGGACAGAGGTCCCCAGCTGAGCCAATTTTAAGAAGAGCGTAACCTGTAGAGTGAATGGCTATCAGCCTGTGGTCCAGTGGGACTGGGAGGTCTTTCTCATGTTGAACTAATCCCCAGCCTGTGCCAATGTCTTCTCAGCCTGATATCTGGGCATCTACCCTCACCCCCTAGATCCCTGGCCAATTTAACCAGGCCAGGTTTGCTGACAACAGGCTTTAAAACTCCCTTTCTCACCCGGTCATGTCTCTGGAAAGTTATTCCAGCTGCCAGGACAGACCATTTTGGGTAATGAATGGGCTCTCTCTGCTGCTATCTGGGAGATTGACCCTTCCTTAATCTGCTGCAGTGTCACTGAGAGATAAAATGTTTGCTCTATGAGCTCCTAATGGCCTTTAGAAACTGCAAGTTCAACACGAACCAGGAAGAGCCACCTAAAGTTTACCCCTCCCCTTCCCAGGATGGGCCAAGGTCTCAGCGAGATGGGTCTACAGACCACTGGCCTGGTCCCCTTTCCAGGCTCTTTTCAGCCCAGGGAGCGAGTGGGTGTGAGGGCAGAGGGGAGACAAGAGAAGGAGAGGAATCTTGAGGCTCTCTGTTCTGGGATTTGTAGGCAGAAGACCCCTCCCCAGGCTGGATAGAGAGCAGAGCGCTGGGGTCCGTCGTTGGGTGGTTAGCCCACTCTCTTAAGTTCTTTGTGCCAGGTTACTGCAGGGTGGAGGGGCTGGAGGGGTCTCCCAACTCTAAGGTTCTAGGGTCTGTGTTGCATGGCAAGAAGAGCTTGGTGATCTTCTCCAAGAGGGGTGACATGTCCAGCGTCTCCCCAGGTTCCTGCACTGAACCTGCTCCCCTCTGGGACCACATGTGACCAGGTCAGGAGGCCACCTTTAGTGACAGAAGGGGTCAGGTGACCTGAATGAGCTGACATTAAGGAGGGAGCTCCTGTTACCAAGTGTCCCTGGGAGCCCAGCACTGTGCTGGGACCACCCCCGCTACACACACACACACACACACACACGCACACACCAGCCTCACAACACAAGAAAAAAGTTTCACTGTGACCCCTCCCCTTCCCACCTCCCTGCTTTTATAGATTTCGTCTCCCATCCTAGCACACCTTCCCGTACTCTATCCAAGTCCTACCCAGCACAACACAGCCTGACTCCTCCAGGAAGTCCTCCCTGATGTCTGGCAGCCAAACCCCCAATGGCTCTACCCAGCTGGTCCTCTGGTTGGTTGATTTCCCAACAGTTCTAGATTTTGCTGCCATGAGGCCCAGACATAAGCATGAGCTCATTTCATTATCTCACCAGGTTAATCAATATTTACTGGGCGCTGGCTTGGAGCCAGACACTGTGGGGCTGCGAAGGGGACAGTACAAATGTCCAGGGGTCATCTGCAGATAGCCCCACCCCCATGCCCAGTGGGAATCCACGTGGGGTCCCAGCAGGCTCCTCGCCCTGTTGGGAAGATGATGAACCTGAGACCCAGCCTCGGGAGGAGCTGTTCACAGCTCCAGCAGTGAGTCAGGGGCTGGAACTCAAAACCAGGCAGGGCTCCAAGACCCGCCCGTGCCCCCTGCCAGCCCTGGAACTCCTGAATCCCCCACCTCCCCCCTGCTGGAGCAGGGTTTGTCCACTAGCCTGGGGCTCTCTGGCCACACAGGCCGGGCTCAGGTGGCCACAGCTGTGCCGAGAAAAGGGGTGGGAAGGGAGCAACAAGGCAGAGCCATTATACCACCCCTCAGTGACATGCAGGACCCTGTCACCCCTCAGTGACATGCAGGACCCTGTCACCCCTCAGTGACATGCTCACCACCTTCTTTACTCTCAGCCTGGCCTCCAGGCTGTGCTTCCACCTGGGGACTCTGTCTGCCCCTTCCTCCAAACTGTCCCCAGGGCCCTGCTCTAGCTGAGAAGTCACGGGGCATAAATTAATCCACCTTTAGGCTTCTGGCTCCAGATGCTCTTCCCCCTGCCTTCTGGAGATGGTCCCTCACCAGCTAAATGCTCAGGGAAATATTCAAGGGACAGATGGTGCTGCTGGTCCTGGGCTATGAGAGGGCGAGGCCTGGGCCTGGGACTGGTGTTGGGTGATACATCCCATCCTTGGAGCTGATAACGCAGCATGAAAGGATTGTGCTTGGGTCTGTGCGTGGGGACAGGAGAGCCCTCTGTGCCCCAGGACCCTGGACTGGAGCTGGGGCTGTGCAAGTGGCTGGGGTGGGCTCCTGATCTGCTGACAGAGGCCTCGCTTGGTAAGGAATGTCCCCTTATGGGCATCCCCGGGTGACCTCCCAGACTTTATGTTCTCAGTCAGCCTCATTTGGAAAGAAGAAGGGAGAGGCTGAGAGAGAGAAAATTGAATTCCAACCTATCACAATTGCAAGTGGCTCAAGAAACGGAGTGTCTCTCACTTGCTACAGATGGAGAAACTGAGGCTCTGAGAAGGAGCCCAGCATTCACACAGCCAGTTAGTAGCAGAGCTGGGACTAATTTGGGATTAACCCAGGATCATCAGTGCACCTGTGTGAGATGGGGGGGGTGTGTGCCTGTGTGTGTGTGNACCACCCCTCAGTGACATGCAGGACCCTGTCACCCCTCAGTGACATGCAGGACCCTGTCACCCCTCAGTGACATGCTCACCACCTTCTTTACTCTCAGCCTGGCCTCCAGGCTGTGCTTCCACCTGGGGACTCTGTCTGCCCCTTCCTCCAAACTGTCCCCAGGGCCCTGCTCTAGCTGAGAAGTCACGGGGCATAAATTAATCCACCTTTAGGCTTCTGGCTCCAGATGCTCTTCCCCCTGCCTTCTGGAGATGGTCCCTCACCAGCTAAATGCTCAGGGAAATATTCAAGGGACAGATGGTGCTGCTGGTCCTGGGCTATGAGAGGGCGAGGCCTGGGCCTGGGACTGGTGTTGGGTGATACATCCCATCCTTGGAGCTGATAACGCAGCATGAAAGGATTGTGCTTGGGTCTGTGCGTGGGGACAGGAGAGCCCTCTGTGCCCCAGGACCCTGGACTGGAGCTGGGGCTGTGCAAGTGGCTGGGATGGGCTCCTGATCTGCTGACAGAGGCCTCGCTTGGTAAGGAATGTCCCCTTATGGGCATCCCCGGGTGACCTCCCAGACTTTATGTTCTCAGTCAGCCTCATTTGGAAAGAAGAAGGGAGAGGCTGAGAGAGAGAAAATTGAATTCCAACCTATCACAATTGCAAGTGGCTCAAGAAACGGAGTGTCTCTCACTTGCTACAGATGGAGAAACTGAGGCTCTGAGAAGGAGCCCAGCATTCACACAGCCAGTTAGTAGCAGAGCTGGGACTAATTTGGGATTAACCCAGGATCATCAGTGCACCTGTGTGAGATGGGGGGGGTGTGTGCCTGTGTGTGTGTGTGCATGCCTGCCCTGTGGGTGTGTATGCAGGCTTTATTAGGGTATGTTTGTGACTGTCCTAAGTTGTGTGTTCAACAGTTTCAAGGCATGCATGTGAAGGTCACCTTTGTTCCAGGTTGTGGGTGTGTATCAGTGTGATCAGGTGTGTGAGAGAGGACATGGGAAGGGTGGTGATCTCAGGTCCTGCTGGAGGATGTGGGTATCTGTCTCAGCAGGGCCACTGTGCTCCAGCCCACCCCAGTTGAAATGTG